TGTGTGTGCATCACACTTGTCGATGATATCCATGTGTGTGCATCACACTTGTCGATGATATCCATGTGTGTGCATCACACTTGCCGATGATATCCATGTGTGTGCATCACACTTGCCGATGATATCCATGTGTGTGCATCACACTTGCCGATGATATCCATGTGTGTGCATCACACTTGCCGATGATATCCATGTGTGTGCATCACACTTGCCGATGATATCCATGTGTGTGCATCACACTTGCCGATGATATCCATGTGTGTGCATCACACTTGCCGATGATATCCATGTGTGTGCATCACACTTGCCGATGATATCCATGTGTGTGCATCACACTTGCCGATGATATCCATGTGTGTGCATCACACTTGCCGATGATATCCATGTGTGTGCATCACACTTGCCGATGATATCCATGTGTGTGCAAGAACCAATAAACCCAATGAAATACCAGTATTACAATCTGATAGCTCAGTCAGGCTATAAAGTCAAAACCTGCATCTCATTCATTATGTTGAAAACCATTGATTACTTATATATACCTTGTTTCTATCGTTTCTAATCAATAGTGATTGGTCAATTCTTTGACTATGACACCACAATATAGTAAAGTAGGACAAAATGTCCGGATAACTGGCAAATGGTCAAATTAAGGTAGAGATGCAGTTTACCTGACAGGTATTTTAATTAATTAATTAAGAAACCAAGATGACCTCCCTTGTCCACAAAACTATACATTTTCGGAAAGCTTATTGTATGAATTTTAAAGTTTTGTTATTATTTTATTTTTATGGACACTGTAGTTTGAAATATGCACAAAAATGTGCTTTTTTGGTCAAAGGTAATTTAAAAAAAATTAGCTTCTTAACCATGCTTCTGTTTCCTGTCAAAATTGGTTTATGGGTACATTTGTTTATTATGAAGAAAACGCTGTCTTGTCTTGAAAACTGTCTACCAGTTGTCAATTTTGTAGGGCAGCAGCTCAAATTTCACTACTTCAAGTTTATGCATAAATTAACACCCAGGCTAGTTGTCTGTTTTTAAAGTTCTGGAATGTGCACTAAAAAGAAGCTGAGATAATTGCTAATTTGCATAACAATTCACTCAGTGAGAAGTTTGCTAATACTCATAATTAAAATGGCTGTTACAGTTTCAAATTTAAATGTATTATCGTTTTGTTAATTCTTTTTTTACCATGTTTTTTTTCAATTATTTATGTACAGCCTTGCTAAATCTTGCTAAGCATTCAAGAGATAATTTTTCACCTGTTATCTATATTTTAAAATCGTTTTTTGAGTATGTTCCACTATTCACAATTCTACAAAATTTCAAGTCTATAGCCAAGACTTTTTGGATAATAAAAAGCAAAAAAAAAAAAAAAAATGCACTCCCATGTGCCCACGAACCTGCATCTCTACCTTAAGCTGACAATTGATATAGTGAACCTTTACAATGAAGAGATTAATGTCCATGTAATTGACGACCTCTGTCAAGCTATCAGTCAAAGTATCACTCATAAATCAATAGTTAACTAAGCAATAATATAATAACATTATTGTAATGACTATGTTGCTATGCAGTAATTATGTTGCTATGCAGTAATTATGTTGCTAGAATTCAATTATTATGCATTTACAATTTTAGTTATATTAACAAAATAAATCAGTAATAAATGAATCAATAAAAATATCAGAAAATAGTTCTAAAATTTGTTGAAAACGAAATATTTGTTTAAGTGAAAATTGAGTGGTTGGCCTGGCTCAATCATAGTTTCTTGTTATCTCCTTTGGTATGAATTGCCTTTAAAACTTTACTTGGTAGAAGTTTTATTTGTGACTTTGTAGACTTTATAGCTATGAACATAGTTACGACTATTGAATTTTTGTTTTTAAAAATATCCACCCATATGCAATGTTATTCTCAAATTTAACTTAAATTATAGAAATATTGATAGATTTAGTTTGTATTGTGGGAAATGAAAATACAGTCCTGAATTTCTTGTTAGATTTTCCACATGGAGTGTTACTAAAGCGTTAATAAGACAGGATGGATTTCATGGCCTGTTTCAAGGATTAACGAGTACATGGGCGAGAGAAGTTCCTGGATATTTTTTTTTCTTTGGTGGTTATGAAATCAGTCGCAGTATACTCATCCCCAAGGGCAATCCTAATGCTGAAATAAGTAAGTGTGGCTCACTCTATTCCAGTCCAGTCCAGTCCAGTCCATTCCATTCCATTCCATTCCATTCTATTCTATTCTATTCTATTCTATTAATTTTCAAATTATTGTGTTTGTTTATATCTATAGTGTGCTATCAGACCCCTTTCTCCTTATCTCCCCTCCCTCCTTCCCTTCCTATCTCCCCATCTCCCCTGCCTCGGCTGAATGCAACAAATTACATTTATTTATTGCTAGCCAGCTATTGAATCTTGACCTCTGGCAATAAGGTCAACTTAGGGTTGAGCATAATATATGAGCACAGATTATCTTTAGAACAATTCAGTTCATGTCATTATATCAGCTTTTGTGTGTTAACATGACAAACAGCTTGAGTGTTATCTTGACAGACAGCTTCTTAATTTTCTAATTTTGAATATGTCTATACTCTCAGAACACTGGAGTTCTTTCTAAGTATTCTTTGCTATAAGAGCTTATCGGTATGGAATTTTACATTGATTTCTCCTGTCCCATACTAGTGCATATAATACCTATATTAAGAATACCTGCAAATTGTGCCATTAGGTACTGCTAGATTTATAAAGTAAAAGTATTATATTCTACTGGATTAATAAGGTATGTTGATACAAGCACATGTATATATACATGCCACCTCCCCTAGTAAGTGTTCCTAGGATTTATAAGGTATACTATCTGTGTGTCAGGTCCTTTAAGGTTAATGATTTGCGGTGGCTTTGCCGGTGCCTGTCTATGGAGTGCAATGTACCCGGTGGATGTTGTAAAATCACGCATACAAGTGCAGTCAATGGTAGGGAAAGTGCAGGGATTTATGCCAACGCTGAAAACAATTATACGAACTGAAGGTAAGAAAATTTATCTTGAGGTAGAGATGCAGTTTATTTGGCTTGCTTTTTAATTGAGTAATTAGACGATGAAGATTGTATTATATATCCAACATGTTATATATTTTCTGAAAGCTTATTATACAAACTTTGTAAAACTTGTCTTTATTTTAAATATCCAGAATGCGTTTTTGATTTTGGGTCAAAAATATGCTTTTTTGGACAAAAGTGGTTTAAAAAAAATTAGCTTAAAAACTTCAAGTCCATTTGTGGGTAAAATTATATCACTGGATACCTTGGTATACTACTAATTCAAATGCGTCAACTCATCTCTCTAACGGCTTTCAAAGTCGCACAGCATGACCTCAAAGTTCACTCTTTTCTATTTTTGCATAATTTATATATCCATGTTAATTGCGGACTTGTTATTTTGGTTCCACTCACCGTAATAAACTGTCCGGACGCATTTT